AGCTCATAGGGTTGGTTTTCGGCAAAATCTACAGGAAACATAGGAAACCCAGGATTCATTAGTGCGAATACGGCATTGTCTCTGAATTTGGAACCCCGAAATCCGATGATTCCCATGAATCATGATTATGTTCAGACTAAAATGCAGTAGCAGAAAATAACCATCAAATGAATCAAATGGGTCCCAGAACATCATTCAGCGTTGGGAAAGGCTATCCAGCCCCCGTCAGAAAAAGTAACAACGACTGGACCAGGTGCATTTCTTCTTGTTGAAGCTCCCAAGACGATGGAGCCCTTGAAACGCAGTGCCATCCAGCAGGTTTTCCTTCTTGGAAGGTTCCGCCAGCACTGAAGCTGGGGCATCCTGGGCCGTGCAACATCTCACCTGCCGACCTGAGGAGAAGCCACGTGCTGCAACGAACACAAATTTTCAACACTTTTAGATATTTTGAGTTATTTTGTAGATTTTTATCGATGTGTTGGGTGTGTCATCTTCATCTTTACGGGTGCAGCAGCTTTCGAAGCAGGATCAGCTGGCAGCAACCCAACAACAACAACGCCAACCTATCAGGTGGTTCAAAATCATTGACCTCTACAACTGAACAGTTGTTCACAGGAAACAAATCGCCATGCGTTGGCTCCAAACGGACACATTGCTCCAATGTAAATCCTTGATGGTTTTTTTCTTTGATGAACTCATCAAAACTTATGAAACAAACGTCTCATTGACCACTCCTCGACCCATGCAGAAACAGTGGATGGGGGTCCATTTTGGGAAGTCGGAAGGAATCTGTTCCTGCGGAAAGTTGATCTCTACTAACTCTAATTTCCAGTGACGTGTTTTTTGGGCGCCCAGCAAGAAATGGGTCTGTCAAAAACAAGGTCCTACATGGTCCTATCATGTCATGCCCCATTTTTCTATCTTACATACATGTAGGACCACTATGTAGATGAATGTGTTGGTTCCAATAGGACAACCAATGGGTTTCAGGGTTCCTACTTTTCAGCTCTACACGCCCTCGGCCGGCATCACCCACCAGCCAAAATCTGGTTGACAACCTCTCGGACTCTCAAGTTATAGCAACTCGCAAAAAATGCCGAAGAACTGGAAACCAAGGAATTATGGGAAAAACATTTGCCGCATCATCTGTACCATTCCATACCATCCTGGAAATACTTGTGTATCGTCAGGGTTACATGGGTTACTCTTTCCCAGGAAACCGGGTAAAAAAGAGGGACAGAGACCCTCGTTGGACACCGGGTGACCATTGGACAACGTCACTTCACCCTTGCGTTTCATCAGAACATCACCTGGGTGCTGACACAAGTGAGCTACAAACTACGGAAGCAACGGGGGCGGTCTGGTTTACATCATTTGCAACTGCGTGTTTTGACATACACCTAAAGTTTCTTTTTACATAATATATATATATAATTAAATCAAAATAGAAATATATATACTACACATATTTATATTTATATATATACATGCACTATATATATTTTAATATATGTATGTATTGAACATATATATATATAAATAGATGTATACTGTATATATGCACTATGCGTAAATAGAAATTTATATATATATATATAGAAATCTATGTTTTAAATACTCTATATATATATGCTATTTTAAAAAAAAAAAACGCTATGCATATATATATATACACAATATATAAATATATATGTATACTATAGATACATAGATAGTTTACATACTATATATATATATATGTATACACACTATATTAAAAGATATTTATAAAAAAAACTATCTATCTATCTTTCTATCTATCTATCTAACTATCTAGCTATCTATCTAATCTAATCTAATCTACTCTAATCTACTCTAATCTAATCTAATCTAATCTATCTACCTACCTACCTATCTATCTATCTATTGATAATATACATAATATATATATATATGACCCAGGACTCCCAAGCCCCCCCCCCTCCCGTGGCTTGGACTGTTCCGTTCTATGTGACGGCTGCGCTTGTGAAGAAATAGAGCAGTCTATTAATGAAACATGCATGCATAAGTCTATAAGTATTGTGTTATATTATGTTTATAAATGCTTATCATACATGGATTAAAATACATGTGTATGTATAGACATACATACATAAGATTACATTACCTTACTTTTCGTCACGTTAGATTACATAACAAAACATAACATAACATACACAACCACATAATTGCATACTAACTAAATGCATACATGCATAGATACAGACCTAGAAAAACGCATACAGGCATGCATTCATACGTATGCATACGTATACAGAGAAGCACGCGGGGTTCGCGGGGTTGGCGGGGTTGGCGGGGTTGGCGGGGTTGGCGGGGTTGGCGGGGTTGGCGTGGGGGTTGGCGGGGGGGTTGCGGGGGGGTTGGCGGGGGGGTTGCGGGGGAGGGGGGGGGGGGGGGGTTTGGTGGGGGGGTTGGCGGGGGGGTTGGCGGGGGGGTTGGCGGGGTTGGCGGTCCAAAAATGGTCCGGGCGTGGGTGGTTTTGCCGTATTGACTTTGGGATGTGCTTCGCGCCCCAACGGCGTGCACTTTTTCCACATCCGAAACTCAAAACATCGTCCGGGCATGTGGCGCTTTTGCCATTTTGACTTCGAAATGTGCTTCGCGCCACAATGGCGTGATTTTTTCAACATCGCAACTTCCAAAAGTGCTCCGAACCTGTCAGTTTTTAACGCTTTTGACTTCGAAATGTGCTTCGTGCCACAACTGCGTGCGCTTTTTCAATATCTCAACTTCCAAAAGTGCTCCGACTTTGGTGTCCTTTGTACGTTTTGACTTGGAAATGTGCTTCGCGCCACAACGGCATGCACTTTTTCCACATCACAACTTCCAAAAGTGCTCCAAACCTGTGGTGTTTTGTAGTGTTTCGGTTTCGGCTTGGAAATGTGCTTCGCGCCACAATTGCGTGCAATTTTTCATCTCATCTGGCCAGATGGCTCCGCACCCGTAGCAAGCCTACTTTTGGACCCTCCAGAGCCACAAATCATTGGAAAAACACAGTGAATCGCGACTTTTCTACCTTTTTGCACACCTGCATCTTCTTTCTTCTGACTCTTTCTCTTCTCTGACCTTCTTTTTTTTTCCAACAAGATTAGCCTCGACGTCGGTCTCTGACCTTCTTTCTTCTGCCTTTCTCTTCTCTGACTCTTCCCACCTCTGCTTTTCATCTGTCCATATTGTCGGAAGTTTGACTTCTAAACTTCCTTCGATAATTATACTCAATATACTCTCTATATATACTATATATATATATAATCTATAACATAGGATATATATTGTGAAAACACAGGCGTGTTTTTCCCGTTTCATGCCCTAAAACTGTATATGAACATCCATGCGCACAACGTTAATGCACTATCTCACACACACATATATATATATATAAATACAGACTATGCATACCCCTTTACTGACATACCCACCCCCACCCACCCACACGGGGGTCGGGGATCATCGCTACCTTTGTGCCTAGATCACATATCCATTTATACCCCTGGACCTGTATACCCATACCTTTGGGGGGAGAGGATGGGGACTGGGCGACCTGTATTATATAGAAATACATGTGTATATATATATACTTATATATACAGACACACATATCATTATATATGTATACGCATACATATCAATATATCATCATCACCATCATCATCATCATCATCACAAAATCATCATCATCATCATCATCATCATCATGATCATCATCATCATCATCATATTTATATATGTACATATATATATATTATATAAATATACATATGTATATTTCATCATCATCATCATCACCAGCATCATCATCATCATCATCATGATCATCATCATCATATTTATATATGTACATATATATATTATATAAATATACATATGTATATTTCATCATCATCATCACCAGCATCATCATCATCATCATCATCACCATCACCATCACCATCATCATCATCATCATCATCATATATTTATATATGTACATATATATATATATATCATATAACTATACATATGTATATCATCATCATCATCATCATCATCAACATCGTCATCATCATCATCATCATGATCATCATCATCATCATCATCATCATCATCCTCGTCGTCATCATCATCATCATAATAATATATATATATATATATCATAGGATGTGATGGTCTGCAGCACAGGCAAACCAAAGGCATCAGTACTATTGGAGAAGCTTGGAAAGAAAAACTATAGACAGTGATATTTCTATTATATATATATATTTGCTGTCTATCTCAATCATATGGGTGGTCCAAGGCAACAGGCGGCAAATGGAGAGTGAAATCATGCTCAATGCCGTACTTCAAGATTTTAACACCACCATCCAGCTTCTGCGGTATCGAACTGACATCCCATTTGGTTGCTGGTTGCAACACTAATACCAGCACCATTCAATTGCAGTTGATCATGCCATATGGATACAAAATCAATCATCACGCGGGTCAAATGTACGAAAAACATCGGGGTACCGTTGGAAAACCAACTTTGGGTCATGCCATCCATGGAAAACCAATTGTCGATCCCAAAAAAAACATCCCAATGCTGACCCACTTGGAGATTCAGATTCGGCCAGAACATCCCTAGTTCTTCGTAAATATACTTATTGATGCATCCATGGCTAATCTTTGCTGAAGGCATTCTATTTCCCTATATGTGTAGCTCTAAAATTCAAGCAACCCAAAGAAATATATAGAATGGTATCTATATACTAGAATAGAGCTGAATTAAACGTACTTTATCCTTTTTGGGGGGTACTATATGTCCAGACAAACGCTTTGTAATATGGATAATCCATAGATCATGTTCCATATGGAAACTATGGTTACTTGTTGTCCAAAATATTATTAAAATGTCTTCCTATGTTTAACCTTAACGAGAACAACAAAATCATGGGTCGTCAATAATTATTCATCCATTTGAAACCATAACCCAAATCACCATATGGGTGCTATAAACCATCCCCAATTGGGTCCAGTAAATTAACATAGACTCTAGACCCTGGTTGGAAGATTCGTGTCCACTAAAAACTCGTGATATCTCGTGATGTCCAGGGTCGAACAATCATCAATCAACAACGGGTTTTGGTGGTGATGGGTCAAAACCCTGGTACCCAAACAGTAGCCTAAAATAGCTGGATGATGCTGGATGCTTATTCCCACAGTCATATGGTAATTTCATAGGTAACAAACGACCCATCCCCAGGTCACTGCTAAGGCCAAGGGGCTCAAGTCGATTAGCTCCCCCACCACTTTGGCGTTGGAACCATCCACCAGTGGCAGCACTTTGGAGGGCAAGGCACTGTAAGCCACTACGCATTTCGGATTCCTGAGGATTTGGTCACTTAAGGACCCATCAAAAACAAAACATCAACAAAACATCAACAAACCAAGAAAAAGTCATAAAACATCCAAGTCTTAGCGGAAAAAATAGCTCTGTGACTCTTATTTAAGAGACACTGTTTTCGGATGCGCCGAGATCAACCCCTGGGATGGAAAAACCTGTGGTCACTGTCAACCCCAATGATAGACCATCCGCAATAGGTTTATGATTGGGTTTACCACTTTAATCCACTTTACCACATTTGTCTTAGAACATTTTGGAACTAGATGAACTAGAACTGATTCGCTTCACCTACCCTTGGGTCACTTGATGTCACGGGTTGTGCCGACTTCCCTTGGATTTTCAGCCCAAGAGTCGGAAAGTGGACAAAGGATTTGAAACCACTGCCCACAAGGGAAGTCAAACCACTGCCCACAAGGGAAGAGCCTGGAGTCCCGCCGGGATCCAGATATCGAAACCCATTTTGGAAGGGTCAAAGTTCAACAAAAATCCTGGGAATTTCATGGAATCTGATGAAAACATGTTTTAATCTAGATGTTTTCTGTATGTGTTCTTCATTCCGATCAAAACCAAGTCATTGGCAATGGATCAAGTAAACTGAATCTACAACGATTCCTACTGGTTGCGGTTTTCTGCGGGCTTTTTTTCAGGTGACATCATCCAGGAACTGGACCCAAATCATCAAACCAAAAAAATACGCTGAGGTCGCTGCGAGTGCGAAGCATCCAAAGGTTGGGGCAAATCTGGAGTTATGTATCTGGTTGGTGGTTTCAACCCCTCTGAAAAATATGAAAGTCAGTTGGGATTATGATTCCCAATATATGGAAAAATAAAAAAATGTTCCAAACTTCCAAACCACCAATCAGTGTATTGTATGTCCATTGCAAGGAGAATGATTCATCAACCTGTCACCCAAATTTGTCGATGTCGAAGTTCTCCCTGAAGATCATCATGACGTGGAAATGGCGTCCTATCCCTCTATGAAACCATCCTAGTCGAGGTCTTGTTGGTCAAAATCAAGATATTTGTTGGTTAAACCCTAGAAATCCTTGAGGCCAGGAAGTACCGAGAAAACCCAAACAATCCTTAGAACTTTGGTATCCTTTCAGCGAAGCCCCAGAATTTCTTGCTCAAAACAACCGTTCGCCCTGCCAAACCAGATCCGACCAAGTCACAGGAATTGATCAAATTATCAGCAGACTCAGCCTACTGACAAGCAACTGGGAGTTGGTAATAGCCCTACTTAGATGGGCCATGGAAGTAGTTAACTTGCTGGATTGTGTCTGATTCCGTGATGTTTTTTTGCCACCAAAGGTGTTTTTTTTCCTCTTCCCTGCACCTTTTTATACCTTCTTAGAAGGAGTTGCTGGCCCCAGGCCACTTGTGTATTATTTTTTGTATATTCCCCAACACGGTTTTCTGTCTCGCTTGGGGGCACTTAAACCACTTTAGGCTTTTTTGCAGTATCGGGGAGTGTCTTGAAGCGGTTGCTGCAGATTCTTCCAGCACTGGTGCGCTGGACTCTTGCGCATGATGAGCATGTGGCAGCTTTTCGGACCAACAAGGACCTAGCTAGTAAATGAATTGTAATTTGGGGATAATTTGTGGTTAACCCAGTTACTAGGCAGGAATCGCTATTCCCATGGCCCATTTAAGTATATAATATATATATATAGATTGTACATATATATATATTATATTGCATATTATGTATATATATATATTATATTATATATATATTGTATATATTATATATTTTAGATATTATATATATTATATTATATATATTATATATATATATCATATATATATATCATATATATATTATATATATATATTATATTTATATTATATATATATATATTATATTGTATATATATTATATATTTTATATATTTTATAAATTTTATATATTATATATTATATATATATTATATACTATATATTATATACTATATTTTATATTATATACTTCATATATTGTATATTATATTATCTCTATATTATATATACTATATATATTAGATATATTATATATATTATATATATTATATATATATATATTATATATATTATATATATATATATTATATATATATTATATATATTATATATATTATATATATATTATATATTATATATTATATATATATTATATATATATTATATATATATTATATATATATTATATTTTATATATATTATATATATTATATATATAATATATTTATATAATATATATATTATATTTTATATATTATATATAGTATATATTATATTTATTATATACTATATATTATATACTATTTTTTATATATTATATATGTCATATATTATATATTATATTATTTCTATATTATATATACTATATTATATATATTATATATTATATATATATTATATTATATATATTAATTATAATATTATATATATATATTAAATATAAGTTATGCCAATAAATTTCATGCTATAACATGCTATAACCATCAACTCCATGGAGGTTGTTGAGCAAGTTAACCATCAACGAAGGCGATTGAACTAACTAATGAACTAATGAACTAATGTGCTCTGCTGGATATGGATCACTGGAAGTTTGGGGATTGATTCCCAACGGAGATGTGACGTCCAAAAAACGAGGATTCGATCGATTCACTGATACGTTATTTCCGTCAAAGTCTTGTTGTTTTTAAAAAAACAAACCATGTTTATCCATATGGTATTTCCCAATATCCAATTATAGTCCCACCTCAATATCCGGTGAAAATCATGTTCCCATACTTCACCCATCGCCAATGGTCATTGAACCCTGACCTTCAAGACACCAAGCCCATCCGCATCGCTTTTGCCTTGGGGAACTTGGCGCCACAACGGGCCAACTGGTTCACTGGTCATGGCATGCTGCGAAAAGGATGGAAGATGCAGAAGAAAAACATGGTCAATCGGGCTGATCTGGGATCTGCAGTCCCGACTCTGCTGGAGCTTCGCCACAGACATGGACACCATTTGGCAAGTGACAACATCTGTAGACGACATTGTCCACAGTCAACACCTTGCTCTTGAAGAAGCCTGAAACCAGAGTCGCGAGGAGACCACTGCAGAATGATTCAAGATTGTCTACCTGATATGGAGAAGATCGTTGTGTTCCCTTCATCTTTTCATCCGCTCGAAATCGATATTTGGACTAACCAGGAGGAGATTAGCAACAAATCATTGACCCCGCAAACCAGTGATTCTGCTGGATTCTGCTGGATTCCCAACAGTCCAAACGGCATGATCATCTCAGAAGCGTTGACCACACATCACGCCCCTGGACTCCGACAAAAATGATGGACAAGTATAGCCATATATGTTCCATGGTGCTGGAATATCTAGCTCCAGCACCAAGGAGCATATGGGATAGGAACATGAAAATTTGCATCAAAACCCTAGTTGAATCTGCAGGGATGCAACCTTTCCGAGCTTTTTATGGATCCGTGCAGCGAAAATTCGGATCGAAACTTGGTTGGGGAGTTGGGGACTCAGTTTTACTTATGCAATCTCTGGGGTTTCCATGCTTCGAGAGAAATTGGATGAGCTTGGCCAAATCCATCATTCTGGCCAGACAAAATGCTCTATATATTGATCTACGTAAAAATCTTTGGACAGAAGTCACAAAAACAAAAAGCACATCCTTTCCATTATATCAGATTCTTGGATTTGTTTCCCCCCACTCAAAAAGACATATAGCATTCCCTACAGGAAGAGTCCGCTATAATTAGGTAAAATCAGGTAAGTTGGTTAATGACTAAATGACTAAGCTATGCTGGAGATATCATCTGACTTCGGCTTAGAAGGGGTTATAGATGATACTTACCCCAGAAGCCATTATAAACCAATTTAACCCCATATAACTCCCATTCTTATAGCACTGGAACTACCAACCAATGACTTCAGATGGCCCTCTCCTACATCCTCCTTTGGCCGCGTCACCGGTGATGTCGATTAACTTGGAATTCGACACTACCTGATTGGAATTGCAGGTTGGAAACTACAGGAAACCGTTGCTTAATACCCATATGCTCCAAGTATGGAATATTTAGCTCGGGTCATGTTGGTGGTAAATGACAGGGTCACTAGTTATGATGGTAAATGTTGGTTAATATGTCAGCACCATGGAGCATATGGGCATATGGGATAGATTTTCACTGAATCAACATGAATCAACACCTATCAGATATCGGGTTGTGGGAGTGCAGATGTTCCTTTCATCGAGGACATCATCGATCCGGTCGAGGGCGGTTTGAGATCCCAAGCTTTAACCATGGCATGGGCATGATTAACAAATTGCAAGGAATCACGTTTGCCAAAGTGTTCTGCATTACAAGTACCCAGCATTTCCAGGATAAGCCTCAAAGGATAAGTCCCTAATCCCGCCGAAATCAATCTGCCTGCTGACAGGGCAACTATCCAGGAGGCAAACAGAGATGTTACTGTACACAGTAAACCCCTGAGTAAAACTGGCCTTCAAACCCTAGTTGGGGTATCTTACTTGGATGTGCATTCACTTCATAAGTGGTTTTAACATGTTTCAACTCATATTTATACCCTCTATAGTATGGTTGCGGAATGTGTTTAACACCTTACTGGGATGAGAGATGATGAAAGTAGGGCTATCCGCCGAGCATCGTACTCGCTCGGCACGCCTTTGAATCCCTGCTCAGCAGCAGTTGCATCGTTCGTGCGAAAGGCATGGCATGGAACAAGAAGCACCTGGCAATGCTGCCATGGACTTGGCAGCTAATTTATGGGTATTGTATTACATCATCAAACATGTTCATGTTTAATCTCATGTTTTCTTGGTACGATGAGACTATTATGCTATGATAAACATGGGGAGGTGTAAAACCAACCAATTGTATAATATATTATTTAATGAGAGTATGCTGGGAGATGGAATCTATTCAAAAAGAGTTTCCCAAATGAACTTTTGCGGGGAGAGATCCACATTGAGGCATCCATCATTTGAGATTTCCCCAATTAAGCACGTTTTTAAATGAATTGTCTAGGGGCATGTAATGTGTCTTGTACTAAAAATAAGGTTTGCTTGAGTTGCAAGTTAGTGAATAGGTCTTGTTCCCAATTTTTACTGAGTCATTAGATACATCCAGCTAGCCAATGAGCCTTTATGTATATATATATATATATACAGTATAGAAAATTATATGAACCCATTAAGTTACCTATCCGGTCATATGTTGCCAGCCACATTCTGAAGTCGGTCTTCAAGTCCTGAACCCGGTCGGAGATCCACGGCACCGGCGCAAGAAGAATTTCCAAGACGCGCATTCCTAAGGCGGAAATGAAGCCACCAAGTGCTACTGCATTGGAGCTTATGACAGCTATAAATGTATAATAAATGTATCAATGTATCATTTTCTCTCATCACAGGTATACAGTAGCATGTTCATCATAAATGTGTGTGTATATATATATACATATTGTATCTTTATGTATCTTGCTGTTTCTTTATGTATCTTTATGTTTCTTTGCTAGTATCAATGACACACACACATGAGGATATCAACCGGTTGACACATGTCCCCCAGGCGACCCAAATTAATTTTGCTAACGAGCTGGGTCCGGTCGACATTCAACCGTTTTGAAATGACCATCCAATCCGCTTACCATCTGTGTCTTCCACCATTTTGGTCCAGCCTTTTCCTCCATGAATTTTATCACCACCATTTCAGGTACTGCTTACCCACCAGAAAAGGTTCAAAATGAAGTGAAATGAAGCAACATGTCTTCCATTCTTCCATCAGCGTTTTCTGTGGAGCCCAACCATAAATATCACCTCCATTTCAGGTGATGTTTGATGCAGGAGCACTAGAGCACGACCCATCTATCAACGAGGTTCTTCACCAAACCACGTGAGAAAGTTGATGACTTCAGCCAAAGCAGCTGCGGAGTTGCCGCCATGGATGATCCAATGATCCAATGATCCAGCAAGTTTTAGGCCTAATCTTTGACCGAAAAACTACAGAGTATCATCCAAATGTGCTGGCACTTTTACCAACTTTATGGTACCTTGAGGTCAAGGTTTTCCCTAAATATAGCATATAGCGCATATGTGGCATTTTGTGGTCACAGGCCGCATAAACTCTCTCAAGAAAGATAATGGGATCAAGTATGTCACTAAGTATGTTCATCATATCATATTCCTACACTTGAGGCCAAACAATACTCCAAAAATGAAGTTTAAATACAGCAATAAATAAGTTATATCAGTTCAAGGGAGTTCCTAAAACTTGGGCACCTTCTTTTCACCACCAAACTTCCCAGTGTTTTCGAAGGAATCCCACGGTTGAAAACTCTCCAGGTCCGGTCCCAAATACTGTGCCACCGCCGAATTGTTGAGGTCTAAATCACCTACAAATGTCCCTATATAAAATGTGCCATAATTTGTCTATAATATGGTTTATATTTATATATACATGGGAAAAAAATACATATATATATATCATATAATTAATCATATATATATGTATATATAGTATATATAGTATATATAGTATATATAGTATATATAGTATATGTATGTAAAAAAGAAATACGATCAAACTTGAGATTCTCCAGATCTGCTTCGTTTTGCCTCCACTTCTGCGCCTGGATGTCGAGCTCAAATTGCGCATGCCACGAACTGGGCAACGATGGAGCACAATGCATCGATGGAGGCCTCGGTGAAATGTACCAAGCCACATTAAAACCACGCAGAAATTGGATGAAATTGGTGATTGCTAGATGAATCCATATTAGAACATGAAAAGTATTTCCTTGCCGATTCTAAAATAGGGGTGATTGAAACATTTACCATTTGAAGGGGACACACTCAAGTGATTACTCCGGAGACTTCTATTTAATGTTTTTGAGACTATATCGTGGGATTTGTAAATTACTGTAACCTGTGCAAAAGGCAGCCAACTTACAGTACTATGGTATACCTATGTCATTGAGACCCAGTGACCATCCTACTTTGGGATGGCTGTCACATGCCGATGTTCATTGGTTGCAACCTATATTGCTATGTGAAACTGTAATATACTTCAAGCACATCGTGTTGCTTATCCCCAATTCTTTGTTACTGTATACCCCATGCTTACTTTGTGCGCCCATGCTTGTTCGTTCATCCGTAAGTAGTATTGCATTTGCTTCGCAGTATCTTTGCTGGTTATAATATTGGTTGTATCTCATGTGTTTTTAAAAACCCCACACTTGGCAAGGTAAGTGACCGTATCAGGTGTTAAGTAACCTGAAATATTGGATAGATTTGGATAGAGGAGAAAAGTTCCTTCGGATTTCCTTGGCGCTCTTGTTGGTTTCTCTCAGCTTGTTGCAGCTTCTTATAACATCATTTTGTTTTCTTATCTGTGCAACGCTCTTGTTAGTTTCTCTCCAAATGTTGAGGCTTTTGCTGGCTTTATATGGCTTTATGATGTATCGTCACGCCGTATCATGTTTTATCTCAATCTTTTGGAAGTATCTCTTGCCTCTTCTCCCTATGTTTCCCAACAAAAACGCCCTTTTGCATAATCTTTTATCAAACGCCCAGTCACTCGGCTGGTCGAGCTGGCCTGGTTCGTAAGACAAAAATGGCGTGATTCATCCAGAGTCAATGTGTATATAGTCAGCCCCAAAACGATAGAACAGTGAATTATATCTGTTCAATAAGGGTTTACTTTTCTATCTTCTTGGGTACGTGTAAAATATATATATATAAGTTTGGAATTGACATCTTCAATCAACAAATATTATGTAATATGTATGAATGGAACATAGAAAATATAATGTTTATTGGTTGTTTAGATCAATATGTCTATACTGTTGGTGACATTTTCAACCATCTCCACAGCCATCGGCCGAAGCCCATGTCTGCTGATGAAATCCCACCGTCAACTCCAATGTTCTGGTGAAATTGTAACGAATGTTCAATTCCTCATTTTTTTCACCAAATTGTCATAAATAATTAAGCAACTTTTTTGGACGTTCCCCACAGTCGAGCTTGTTGAGCTATGAATGGCCAAAACTGTTGGTCAAATGTGGTCAGATCTCCGTGTTGCGCTTTCATCTCAAAGGTTACCTTGGTGGTTCGTCTTGCTTAGGAAGTTGGTGATAGCCCCAGCCAAACGGGGACTAGCTGACTAGCTCCAATAGCAGACCATTTATAACCAAGTAACCAAGGGTTATAACTTACTAGGACGAACCGCCAAAGTGAAGTCTCCATGCCTCTGCACTTGAGCTGGAGGGGAAGGCCTCGGGTTTGTCGCCAAAAATCGTGTGGCACACATCAAAAACCTCCAATTTTGGATGGTTCTACGTCCCATTTCTAGTGAAATTGGTTTTGGTTTATTATATCTTGCTTGGGTTTACCACATTATAGAATCATGGAATAGAAAATCCACCCGACATATTAAGTTCAAAAAAGGACTTCATAAACAAAAGAAAGGTGGAATTCACTAAAAATGTAGATTTACCCCATGTGGAAGTGATTTTTCCACATCGATGTTCACATCCGAAACAAGCGCCAAATCCTTGTCTGATTTCACCAAGGCCAGGTGCAACGGATCCAAATAAGTCAACCCAGATGACAAATGACCCAACCAACACTTCCAGTTTTGTGCTGATCCAGCCCTTTGGTTGGACATGTGCAAACATGATTAAGTGTCAAAGACATATATATATAGATCATTATAATATATATATATACACGTGTATATATATATATATGTATACACATGTACATAATATGTATATATATATGTTATATATATATATATATATGTTATATATATGTTATATATATATATGTTATATATATATATATGTTATATATATATATGTTATATATATAATTATATATTTCATATGTACGTATATATTGATTGGTATGTAGCTATATGACTATATCATACTATATCGAGTGCAAGTTGAAATCCAATTTGCTGTTGTTTAAACCATAATTTTTTATGATTATACCTGGTTGTTGAGCCTCCAGACGGGCTATGATGACCACAGGGCATCGCCGCCTTATTGGTGATTTGGGAGGCACTGGCACGGCAGCAAGACCCAATTGATCGGGTTCTGGCAGGTTAGGAAGCAATTTTGGCTGGTGAATCCCAATGAAATCCCATTCTATACATAATTCCCATAGATGTTCCGATGATTTCCTATCAATTCCCATGTCCCTGATTTTTTTACCATGAATTCCCACGATTGATTTCCCATGATTTCCTGCGCGAATGCATTGAATGCACCTGCGGTGGTCCTGCGGGAGCCGCCATGGAGGGGCGTTGCCACGCGGCCTGCAGTTCTTGGTCGAGGAATGATGATCATAGACATAGGCTACTCTTAGTATTATAATGGCAATCGTATAATCGTATAGTAGTATGATAGTAATAGTAACCTAGAAATGATCATAGTATAATCGCATGAATATTACTATTATTTTTGTAATGATAACCGATAACCTAGAAATGATCATAGTATAATGGCATCGATACAATGTTATATAGTAGTATAATGGTAGTAGTAACCTATAAAAATTACAGTATCAGGGTAATAATATACTA